CACCTGAAACACTGGCTGCTTGTCTGCAATGACATCTACCATGGGATTCTTAGATCCTGAGAAGTAGACTGGAATCCACTGCCGTTTCCTGAGCGTCACTATGACCCTGAAGAGCAGTGTGTCTCATATACCCTGCTGGGTCCCTGCAGGTGGTGCTAAAGCAGGGGAACCAGGGGAATGGCAGTAATGGGCTTATGGGTACTCTGTCCCTGGGCATTTGCAAACTAGGCTCTGTTCCTGTTGCTTTGGTTGCTCTGCTACTTGCATTGCTGCCTCTCCTCTCCTCTCTCTCCACCTCTTTACTATTCATTCACAGAGACACTTCTCAGTGGTGGATCTAGGTGCTAGGGTTTGCCTTATCCTTTGTTAATTGCAAAATCATTTGATGGTCAAAATTACTCAATGGCAATCTCCTTCCATAGTGATACCACCTTGGAAACCCAAGGAGGGGTCGCTATGAGTTGGGTCTGACTCGATGGCACATAACAACAACAACAGACCATGCATTTTCCTTAGGCAGTGGAAAGCCAAGCATAACGTCACCGCCACATGGGGTGTGGGACGCCAGGCAGGGGCGTCCTTTACCAGTTGCATCACTGCAGTTCTGTGGTGTCGTTAGGTGCGTGGTTGGTGATGATAACACTATGTGGAAGAGTGGCACCATCAAGGAAGCAGGTGGCTTCCTGGTACTGCCCCTTCCAAGTTAGGTGGACTGTTGCTGTCCTTCCATTCTCTGTTAAGAGCCCACCCACTGCCATCAAATTGATTCTGACTCATAGATACATTATAGGACAGAGAAGAAATAACCCGTAGGGTTTCCAAGTCTGTGGTCTTTACGGGAGCAAACTGTCGCATCTTTTCTCCAGTGGAGAAACAGCTGGTTCAAACTGCCATCCTTTTAGTTAGCAGCTGTGCGCTTTAGCCACTGTGCCACCAGGGTTCCCCATTGGGAGCTGTTGTTGTTGTTGTGTGCTATTGACTTGGACCCAACTTGTAGTGACTCCTCCTCCTTGGGTTTCCGAGGCAGTATCACTACGGAAGTAGATTGCCCCATCTTCCTTCCAAGGAGTGGCTGGTGGGTTTGAACCACCAGCCTTC